AAGCTTGCTGTTGAGCGTAGTCGAAACAGCCATGTTGTGAGTATTCTGCTTGTCCGTGTAGGACTTGCAGTCTCTTGATTTGACCTCTAAGTTGGTCTGCGTTTCGCAGAGTTGGTCCTTGATCCACTTTATGCCTTCCGTGTTGGTAATCCAACACTGTTCGGCACTGTGCATCATCCTGTCGATGCTACATATCCTGGCGGATAGATCCTCGATTTTGAGGTTCACACCACCAATCGCGGGATGATTGGATTGACTCTCCGCGAGGGATCTCTCGATTGCTTCAACACGGGTAATAAGCTCGGCAACTCGATCAGAAAGAGACTCAAAAACAGTTTGAACTTGTACGATCGATCGAGCGACGTCGTCGTAGCTGGCCCGTTCACTTAGGGCGTCGCCTAAGCTAGTCACACGATCGAAAATGATCTTGACTCGTTGGCCAAGCTCGGTTACGACATCCCTAGCCCCTTGCGACAGCTGCATTGACGCATTTGCAGCCTGCGTACATGTGTTATTCACATGGACGCATCGGTCGTGCTTGGTTCTCCACGAGTTGACCTCGGTGGCTAGTTGCCTGATGCATTGATCACTTCTATCATTCCTACTCCCAAGGTCTTCGACCTTAGCAACTAGGCGATGAATAATCGCACTTACGGAAGAGTCCACTTTCCCTCTTTCAAGGGCCGTGACAAGAGCAGCAACCTCATTGGGCTGGTCTTCACCCATTGGACTATGCCTTGATCCACGGTCCCGAGGAGTGGACAGATCAATCATGACTGGATTAGATCTCGGAGGAGTTCTGAAATCATCCTGCACGGCCGTTGATGGCCGTGGGGACTCACTCCGATTAGGAGATTGGCTCTGGTATGGCGCAGATCTCCTAGCATCACGAACCGCCGAGGGTTGTGTCATGCCCAGGCTTTTGCCCACGGACAGTTTAGGAACAACAGGCCTATCAGTTCGCATAGGAACATCAGGTTTCGAGTCAGCAATAACAATGTCATTCAAGTCGGTCGCATTGGACACTCTAGACTCAGACATCGACTCAATATCAGTCGCATTACTGATGGTGTGATTGCGACTAGAACTTGATGCCATCATGGACTCGGACTCTATCGGAACATTAGCTCCGTCCATGTCGTCCAGGGCGAAAAAGGAAGCCGCGTTGGGCGTAGGGCGAACACTTTGTGCATTCAAGCCACTCGACCTATTAAATTCCTCCTGGAATGCTTCGATCCCATCAAGCACGTTAACGAGTGTGTCCGCGTTTAACGGGTCTCCTCCTATGATCGACGCTGGGTCACCTGATCGACCGCGTCCTGAGTCCCGCGTACTGGGGTTTCCCCTGTGGGCAGTTTCCCGATCCATCCCCCTTGCCCTATGCGATCCAGTCGAGTTTGACCTTGATCGTTTGCTTGGGGTTGGACTGGGGTGCAAATCCAATCTATCTACGATATTACGCTCGTTAGGGCTCTCAAATCCTGAAAGTCCTGGGGGAGGGGACATGTTCCTCATGGTCGGGTTTACCGACGGCCTTGGCCTGACATTACGGGGTCACATCAGGATTGAGAATCGACAAAGGTAGCATGAATTCATCGCTTCCAGCAGCCCGTTTCGGGCTTTGGAATTGCGGGAAAGACGACGGGGCTGGTGGCCCTGGCATCCATGTGGCGAAATCCATACCAAAAATGTTTCCGTCGTTGGGCCATGAGGCTCTCCAATCTAGCCCACCGGATGCGGTTGGCAGATGAACGTCAAATGCAACTCCACTGGATGTACCAGGCTCGGGATTACCGAGTACTTGGAAAGCTATGTTGCTGGTTGGCACAGGTCTACTGCTGCCTCGGGAGTCACGAACCTCGGACTGACCGATATTCATCAGCTCGATCATCACGTCCGGAGACGGAATCATCATGGTCAGGACGATTAGTCCCACGACCCTGAGAGCGATTAGCTCTTGAGGCATTAGACGATAGATCATCAGTGCGAGTAGCACTGGATCTCTCTGAAGGCATTGCTTCTGAAAAAGTGTGGTCCGACAAAAAATCAGGACCGGAAAACATCGGCTGTCCGGGCACTTGGTCGTCATTCACAACGTCCAAGATTCCGGCCTGGCCGAGAACCCACTCATCGGTCACCGCATGAGGTCCATCCTCTGTGATTCCCGCCATGAGTCCTACAGTAGCCTATGGAAAACGGCGCCTGCAGGGTTGTTATTAAATGGGGTTCGCGGTGCCAACCGAGGACGAATCCTACGGCTGATAACCTGCGAAAGGGTTTGAAACAGCATTTCGGGAGAGAATAAACAGGCCCAATCCCACCAACAAGAAGAGATTGTTTAAGTCCCCCAGTCCCAAGGGCAAAGCGGTGCCCTCGGCTGGCACAACAAACGAACCAAAACAGGGTGCCTTTAACCAAGAGATGAATGAACCCAGCAAGGGCAAACAATGCAGCGAAGCGAGCAAAGCAAACCAAAGCAAGCCCCCAACCTAGGTCCTGACCTGCCCCCAAGTCCGCCCCAACCGCCGCGGCCGCGGCCCGCGCAATGCTTTTGCGCGAGAGGCGAAGCGGCGCCGTCGGGAAGCGAATTGCCGGAACAGCAAGATAGGGTCGCCGGGACCAAAAGCTTGAGCCAAATGCCGCGTTGGGCATTGGCATGAAATTAAACATGTTGTGATAAAAGTACATGCCCCCAAAAACACCATGAATTGAGGACATTGCGATCCCTGAAGCCTCCAAGCAAGCACCACTCCGTAGTCTATAGTCGTTTCAATGGCGTTTCCAAGTGCGCTTTTTAGTGGCTGCCATGAATTGAGAACATTATCCCTGAAGCCTCCAAGCAAGCACCACTCCGTAGTCTATAGTCGTTTCAATGTCGTTTCCAAGTGCGCTTTTTCGTAGTTACCATGAATTGAGAACATTATCCCTGAAGCCTCCAAGCAAGCACCACTCCGTAGTCTATAGTCGTTTCAATGGCGTTTCCAAGTGCGCTGTTTCGTGGTTACCATGAATTGAGGACATTGCGATCCCTGAAGCCTCCAAGCAAGCACCACTCCGTAGTCTATAGTCGTTTCAATGGCGTTTCCAAGTGCGCTTTTTCGTGGCTACCATGAATTGAGCCGTAGTCTATAGTCGTTTCAATGTCGTTTCCAAGTGCGCTTTTTCGTGGTTACCATGAATTGACGTTTCCAAGTGCGCTTTTTCGTGGTGGACATTGCGATCCCTGCACCACTCCGTAGTCTATAGTCGTTTCAATGGCGTTTCCAAATGCGCTTTTTCGTGGATACCATGAATTGAGGACATTACCCCTGAAGCCTCCAAGCAAGCACCCAAGCAAGCACCACTCCGTAGTCTATAGTCGTTTCAATGTCGTTTCCAAGTGCGCTTTTTCGTGGTTACCATGAATTGAGGACATTGCGATCCCTGAAGCCTCAAAGCAAGCACCACTCCGTAGTTCAATGGCGTTTCCAAGTGCGCTTTTTCGTGGTTACCATGAACTGAGGACATTGCGATCCCTGAAGCCTCCAAGCAAGCACCACTCCGTAGTCTATAGTCGTTTCAATGTCGTTTCCAAGTGCGCTTTTTCGTGGTTGCCATGAATTGACAACATTATCCCTGAAGCCTCCAAGCAAGCACCCAAGCAAGCACCACTCCGTAGTCTATAGTCGTTTCAATGGCGTTTCCAAGTGCGCTTTTTCGTGTTTGCCATGAATTGAGGACATGATCCCTGAAGCCTCCAAGCAAGCACCACTGCGTAGTCTATTGTCGTTTCAATGGCGTTTCCAAGTGCGCTTTTTCGTGGTTGGCATGAATTGAGAACATTATCCCTGAAGCCTCCAAGCAAGCACCACTCCGTAGTCTATAGTCATTTCAATGGCGTTTCCAAGTGCGCTTTTTCGTGGTTGCCATGAATTGACAACATTATCCCTGAAGCCTCCAAGCAAGCACCCAAGCAAGCACCACTCCGTAGTCTATAGTCGTTTCAATGGCGTTTCCAAGTGCGCTTTTTCGTGGTTACCATGAATTGAGGACATTGCGACCCCTGAAGCCTCCAAACAAGCACCACTCCGTAGTCTATAGTCGTTTCAACGGCGTTTCCAAGTGCGCTTTTTCGTGGTCATGAATTGAGAACATTATCCCTGAAGCCTCCAAGCAAGCACCACTCCGTAGTCTATAGTCGTTTCAACGGCGTTTCCAAGTGCGCTTTTTCGTGGTTGCCATGAATTGAGAACATCATCCCTGAAGCCTCCAAGCAAGCACCCAAGCAAGCACCACTCCGTAGTCTATAGTCGTTTCAATGGCGTTTCCAAGTGCGTTCAGGTGTTGGAGTTTTGGAACCCCCTGTTGAGCCCATACTCTCCGACAACTCCGAGTCGGCTGTGTCCAAGGATCGGCCTCCGGCATCAGGTGGAATCAGTCATTCGATGACAACCCCCCACCTTCTCGGGTTGCTCAACCTGCTTTTCAGGTTAAAAACCCTGCTGACAAACCTTCAGACTTGTCAGTGACCATGAGTCGCTTCGTTGAATCAACGGTCACCCGCCTGCATCCTGCGCCCCATCTTGGGGTTGACGGCGCTCCATCCATCGCTTTCGTATGCCCCCCGTGACGCCAAACTCCATAGCTCAAACGCCACGAAGGGTTTTTTAACCCACCCTCCACACCCATTGTAGCACTTGAGGTGCTACGGCTGAGGAAAGAGGGATGATTAGAAAGACGTTCGAGCATGAGACCTGTTGACATGTCTGTTATAAAAGTTGAAATAAAAAGAGCTGACGAAAAATCGGAGTGACCGAACGGTTTCAATGGCTCAAGCGCATGTTCCCTTTATACAGGAAAGGAGACTGCTATTACCCTTAAAAAGACAAAGCTATCAACTTCGTTGAGAGCACTCATCAGATTCTTGATATATATATATATATAGTAGGCTTGAACCATGTCCGCCTGCTGGCAGTACAGGGTCATGCTGAAGCAGATGTCCTGGCTTGTGGTTGGGCCACATGACTGGGACAGGCTTGGCCCGGGGAGACCCTGTACTTGACGTGGCCTACAAATGGCAGGTCCTGAGCTTGGAGGTGGGCAAACGCATCTTCTTCAGGACTGAGAACCAGGTCACCTTTTACATGATGGCCTGTGTGATCAAGGAGGTGCCGATGAACGTCAGGGTGGTGGAAACCCGTACGGGCGCCTCACGGCCAAGGGCACGGGTGCCTACAACTCGGCTCACTTCCAGGATGAGTTCATACAGGCGCTCAAGGCGTGGACGGCGAACGACCATGCGGTGCTGCTTCACAACAGGCCAGACGATATTGCGCCTGATGAGTGACGCAAATCTCATAAAGAGGCCGGCCAATATGAAGGTCAAGCCCACGGCCAAGAGTGCCATGAAGGTCAAGCCCGCGGCCAAGAGTGCCATGAAGGCCAAGCCCGCAATGAAGGTCCCCGCGGCCATGAATGCCATGAATTGAGGACATTATCCCTGAAGCCTCAAGCAAGCACCCAAGCAAGCACCACTGCATAGTCTATTGTCGTTTCAATGGCGTTTCCAAGTGCGCTTTTTCGTGGTTGCCATGAATTGACAACATTATCCCTGAAGCCTCCAAGCAAGCACCCAAGCAAGCACCACTCCGTAGTCTATAGTCGTTTCAATGGCGTTTCCAAGTGCGCTTTTTCGTGTTTGCCATGAATTGAGGACATTATCCCTGAAGCCTCCAAGCAAGCACCACTGCGTAGTCTATTGTCGTTTCAATGGCGTTTCCAAGTGCGCTTTTTCGTGGTTGCCATGAATTGAGGACATTGCGATCCCCAAGCAAGCACCACTCCGTAGTCTATAGCCCTGCTTCTGGTGGACAGTCATGTGGCCCACACCGTTTTCCAAACTGGTGAAACTGCTGATCGACTCGGGCCAAGCTGCTGTAACCACCCAGCACTGCGCGTGGAGCGTTGGCTCCTGCACCGCGCTTGCGCTGCGGGCGCAGTGCAGCATTATCTACTTGCATCAGGGCTGGGGGGAAAGGACCGCTTCTGTGATACAACAAAAAGGGCTTCCCAAAGACTACCCCCTCAATGTAACGCGGAGATTCCCTTGTATGGATAAGCCCTTTGATCCCACAACCCTGACTTGCAGCCATTCGACTACTGCTTCCTTTTATCAAACGACCTGCCAACTGTGCTGTGGTTATTTTGGAGCTGCAGGGCAAACTACCCCGCGCACGTTCCCGGCTCCTGGTGTGCCATGTCTGAAAACCACTCTGCCAGATCTTCCACTTGCGGACAGCGCGTCCGCGGCTGCGAACAGCGCTCGCCTTGAAGCATTCAAGTCAGAGCTGGCTCCGCGCAGCGCACCCCAGCGCGCCCGCCCCACAAACACAGCTTGCCGGGGGAACAAACAACAATCGCAAGAGCTTCACATTCCCTGCATCAGGATAACCACACGTTTCACATTAGATACTTTCACCAAGGTCACTCTCTCCGGCTCCAAGATTTAAGCTCCGCCTTAGCAGGAAAAAATGAGCAATCCTCGGGTAGAACGAACTTGTTTGATCCTAAAAACTCAGACACCTGATCCGTGGGCTCGACCAGCTTTCCCCGCGAAGGGGTGATATCACGTTTCGTTCTGGGTATTTTTAAGGACAGGTTTGGGCAACTCTCACGAGTTCTTTAAGGGTATAGTAGGCTCAAGGTGGTTGGCTTAGGCTGTAGCCTGCATCTTGAGGAACCTTCAGAGCAGGGGTTCTGGGTATAGGATGGGTTTAGCCTCTGGTTTCGGTTGGGTTTGTGGTTGGCTCTGGGTTTGCTTGGGGCTTAAACTTGCGTGAGGTTTAGAGTGGGTCTCAGGTTGGAATCAGAGCGGGTTTGTGGCTTTCAGTTGGTTTAGTGGGTTTAGGGAAGGGGTTGGACTGTTGATCAGGGCACGACGCAGGGGAGGGCAAAGGACAAGAGTACCGGGCAACTAGGGACCTACAGCACTGGAGTGGTTCTTTGTTTGATCCCCACAACTTTGCTTTGATCTTCATAGTTTTTGCTCGATGCTTATCCAATCGGTGGGGGTATCTAGAGGGAAACTAAACTGAGCTGAGGCAAGCCACTTGGCTGCATCTCTGGAGGTTGGACACTTTAAGATAAGAACGGGCCACAAGTCTGAAGAGGGCTCCAGGCGAGCCCAATTTCAACGAGTCTCAAGAGCAATGTCGCCGCACGTGCATCGCCGAGATCTGCGTAGCCGGTGATCTCCAACGAATCCTTGGGAGTCAGCTACCCCAAAACTATAGACTCTACACCTTTCTCCAATCCCCACCACCTTCAGGTTTATGCGTCAGTCCTGTGGCACTTCCTAGCATGGTTTGTGTCTTGGCATAGCTTGGCGCCGTCGCTTCACTCTCGTACTGGGGTGTCGGCTTCATCAGACGCAGCGCGAAACAGGACATGATCCAGTTCACCTTGGCTGTTGCGAAAATCAGCCCACAAAAGCCACGCCAGGCTGGCTTAGTTAGGACGATGTCATTTAGCGTCAGCTTTCCATTTTGAAGGCTTGCTGTTCTCAAGCCATTGTCAGAGGACCTTGGCGGAAAGCACAAAGCTCCAAATTCAACCGAGCTGAACTTGTTTGACTTGGACTGGCTGGTGGCGCAAGTTCAATATCATCTAGACATCTGTTCCGATCATCAGGTCGCACACTTGCTGCTATCAGTTCCTTGGCTCGTCTACGGGAAGGCCGCCAGTGTCCAAAACCCTCGCGAATTCTCTGGGACAGTTCTGGTTGTCGTGACAGGAAACCCTCAGACTTGCTTTTCCGAAAGGCTTCAAAGGTCCAACCTATGTCCAATGGGTTCCGACGCCTTCTGGCGAGGCGCTCTGCCGCGGCGACCCCCGCTGCGAAGACGACCCCGCGCTGGGCGTTGGCGCGAGGTGCTCTGAGAGCTTTGAGAGCTGGTCGCCACATAGCACCTAGCGGGGGATCACACGTGTCATGGCGAAAACGGATGTGGGCCATGATCCTCCTGGCCATGTGTCAAAATCCCGTACCCCCAGTGAACATCCCAATCCCCACTAAAATAGACTAAAATGGGTGGTGCACCTATCCCAAAATGGTACCATTGGTTTTGACCCACAGCCACTTCATCCTGGCACTTGTCTGTTCCTAAAGGGTCCATGACCATCACCCCAAGATAGCGCGTCTGTTGAATATGGCACACATGAACTCGGGGGCTCAAATTCGCCTGCAAACCCGACAAGTCACGTTGTGCAAACGCAGAGCGGCTCACTGCTTTGTCAATCAAGAGAGGATGTGGCGTGTATCTCACACACGGACACAAGAGGCGTGCTTTCCCTGGCTTCCGTCTCACACATCCAAGGGGTCTCTTGTTTCAAACGAAACGGAAGCAGAACCCGCGTAACGTGGCTTGCTGCACTTTCGATGGAGACCGCGATTGCAAACCATCGACACCGTGCAAGATTGACTTGAGGCCTGCGGGGATCCGACTAGCTCTTTTTTGCCCAAACGAAATGCGTGTCCAGGTTTTGTTGTCATGCCTTTCATATTCTTTGACGGGCTAAGTGGAACATAGATGGGCCTCGCCCGCACTCAGCACGCCAAAAGGAATGTCACCAGTCCTATGTGGGCATGGGTCAAACACCATCATTGGTTTTGAACCATGGCCAGGCCCTTTTGAAGATTTCCAGCTCCGGCCCGGTTGCATCGCACGGCGAGAGATGCCTCCAAGGTCCCGGACGCCTGCAGCAGCGCCCAGGGATCTCCGGCAGCACAACTCCTCAGGCGGATCTCCTCAACTAGGCGTAACTGCTCATGCCACGTACTAGAGCCAACCACAAACCACTTCCCCAAGACATGGGAAAAAGGGTTACATCGACGTTGCCCCCCCCCCCCCCCCACCAAGAGTAGATTACCAATCATGTTGTCAATTGCTCACCTGAAGTTGGCCCAATTGTCACGGGCACGCTGGAGACCAACCTGGAGCCAGGCCAACTACCCGTTTGAGGCAGGCCGACGAGCCTGCTTTGGGTTCGGGCTTTGTTTGACAGGCATTTATTTATCTAACGATACCCTGGTTGCAATATCAGCATCCCTGCTGTTGTCTGAGGATAATGATGACGCCAGCATTCGATTGGCAAAAACATGTCGGACCGGAAACCGCATCTGGCAGAGTTCTGTCCATCATGTGACACTGCCAGCTGACGGCTTTGCAAGCAGCGGACTGCTCACTTGCCAAGAAGGTGCGTGTGAGGGTGCACTCGTGTGAGCGATGTCTGCACCCTCAGAACAATACCTGTCGAAACAGAGAAGTACAGTCTCAAAAAGTAACATAGCACCCAAGAAGAAGTGTCCGAAGAGGGGGTGTCTGAAAACATGAGACTTTTCCAAAGATAGCTCTTGAAGCTCCTTTGTATGCTTTTGGGGCGCACATGCAGAAGGCTCTCTGCATCGTTGGGATTCTTCGGATCGAGGAGGGCTGCGCGGAAGAAAGTGGACCCTCAGAATTGGCGAGCGGCTGCAACCCTTGCTCTGCCAGGGCGGCTCGATCAGCCCGGTCCATTCCTGCCAGAAAACGCGGTAGCTGGTGCTTTGGCAGCTAGGCTAGGATGCACGCCCGTGTCCAACACAACAAAAAAGAGAAACCACCACCACCAAAAAAAGGGTTATCTGAACTCCACTCCACCACCTCCAGGGTTGGATGCCACGCGTCATGCACTGATGCAAGGTTACAGCTGAAGCAACCAAATTACCCCCCCATCCCGTCAAAACCTCTAACAAATGCGATCTCTTTGGCCTTCAGCACACCACTCGTGCTTAGAAACTTCGCTCCTTTGCTGCTTGTATGACATTTGCTTGAGGGATATCATTTATAAGGGGCTCCCACAAGTGCTCGGTTTTTCTTTGGTTTCCTTTTGAAACCAACCCAAACGCATCAACCTTTGATTCGCACGCGCCCAACGTGCCGATGCGCCTCGGGCCGCTTCTACCACTGCAGATGCGTAGGCATGCCGGGCCCGCAGCGACAGTAGCCTTCCAGGCACTCCGCACTCTGCGGCAGATGCTCAAATGGCGGTCAAAGAAGTTGGACCCGTCCAAAGGGCAAATTGCTTGTTGCATACCCTATGAAATCCGTGCCAGAGCATAGTCCGGAGGTAATGCTGGGACAATCCAACTTTGGGCAACAGTGGCTGTGACGTGTCTGGGGTGCACACCACGTTGGTCGCTTGTGCCGCGAACAAAGCTCCAAAGGCCAACACGCTTTGCTCGATGGCAGTCTGAAAAGATGCGCGGCTGTGCCAGGGTATTGTTCATGTCCCAAGTATGAACAGCAAAGGGAACGCCGAATAAAAACAGCGTATGCGCTCAGATCCAGGGGAAACCACCCCAGGCTGAAGGACACTGAGCAAGCAGACTTCCTCATAGGCGCATCATGAAGACAAGATTGACTGGCTGAAACATGGTTCATATTTTGAAGATCGAGTTAGACGTGCAATGTTCAAATAGAGAACGCCATGTCCATTGGATAACCATGACAATTGGAGCTGCGCCTTGCCACGCTCGGACATCTAGAACCAAGCACCTTGCCACCTTATCGGAGCACCCAATTCAAGTTATTCTTGAGATTTTGCATAGCCCGGAGAGGTTCAGCTCGGGCCCATTGGCTCCTGTCGCAGGTTTCCTTCCGGCGCCTGGCGTAAAGGGACCCGCCCTGGCAGCAGGTCATCTTCGCGGCGCTGCGTGCGGCCCAGCTCCGCCACTCGGCGTCCGGCGCCTCGAAGGACGCCAACTCTGAGAGGAAGTCCGCGCCTCTCGAAGCGCCGTTGGCCAAATTTGGTGGGGTGGGGTGGGGTGGGGGGGGGGGGTTGGGTTGGGTTGGGTTGGGTTGGGTTGGGTTGGGTTGGGTTGGGTTGGGTTGGGTTGGGGTGGGGTGGGGTGGGGATGGTGCTTTGAGGGAAAGAAGGACACGTATGCCTTTTCAGGGGCTCCACTGATTTAGGAAGCTCCCGCATGGTCCTGCAATAAGGTCTAAACAACAAAACCAAGACGACAGGGCATGCGGACTGCAGGAGCAATTCATGTGTGGCCAATGTCGTGTAGACGATGACACTGGGCCAAGGCTCTCTATGGCTCTTGACACCTGCTATGACTCTCAAAGGCTTGTGTCAAGAGGCACCTGCAGCATACCAACCAAGTACGTGGCTCAGTCGGTGGATTTGCAAATAGCAGGTTTGGCCAACATCACTGGTTTGTCCTCGGACTCCACAAGAATTACTTCGAGCGCCTGTAGGAGTAGGACCCTATTCGCAGAAAGGTGTCGGCCAAGTGCGATTCTTCATTCGGAGATGTCCCTCACGAGAAATCATAAAGTGGGAAGCATGCTTGATGAGGACATAGCATGCTTGATGAATATGAGACATAACAAATACTGCTTTCCCTTCTTCCAACAGCGGAAGACAGGGTGTTGGATGGAGGATTGCCAGAAAGGGTCCTTGTTTGGAAGGTTTGCGACACTTAGTGCTGCTTTTAAAGGGACTGGAAAAAAGCTACCACACTTTTAGTTGCCTAACACAAGTGGTAAGTCCCTCTCACGCTTCCATGCAACTGTTCCTCAAAACGGTTCCATTTTCAGTTGGCGGGTATCCTCCCAACAAACTCTCCCACTCAACCATTGTTATGGTGACAACGTAATGGTTTCATTTTGGGGAATCCTGTCGGGGGTTCGATCCTTGATCGAAAAGGGACACCCAGGAGGCTCAACAAAAAAACAACAAACACATGAATATGTGCACATCTCATTTAATTTTCGGAGAAAACCCGGGTGACGGTGACCCTCCCAGAAAAAGAAGAAGAAAGAAGAAGACAAAAACACAAACCGTCGGCGCATTTTCGACGGCTCTCGCCTCGGTCCAGCTGCGCCAGGCCCTCCAGGAGCTCCGCCCCGAGGGCGGCCCGCGGCCACGCCGCCTCCACGGTGACCTCCACCTCCAGCGCCTGCGACGCCGAACCGCCGCCGCTGCGATGGATCGGGTGGAGCACATGGAGCGAGGCGGAAGATGGCCCACCAAACCCCCCAACCCCCCCCCCAAAAAAAAATTAAAAAATCAATAAACAAATAATAAAATGGACATATCTGCAACTCCCCCCCCCCCCCCAAAAAAAAAAGAGGACAAATATCTGCTGATGGCTTGAATGATTTTGTGAATATGAAACGAATGAATGGAACACACATTTCCGATAGATTGGTGTGGAGTTGGTTGTATGAGTGGTTGGAGCATACAGTCCACGATACAATGGACCACACAATCGCTACTTGTGGATTGGTAGGTTTTTTGGTTGGCTCGACCGATTTGGATTGAACTTCGAATGGAGCGTAAGATATGTTCGGTTTGGCTCCGACCCTGCCGCAAAATCATGCTTTTGGTTTGTCTTTTTGGCTCAGCAGTTGGTGGACCCAAACGTCCAACCATCGCAACTGCCCCAAAGGTCGGCGCCGAGTTCGTATCAGGCTTCAGAAAGGAGAGGGCCAAGGAGGGTAAAATTATAGCCCCTTTATGAGACATGAACCGTCAGATGGCAGGGACCAATTTAACCATGCCAAACCGGATTGGGCTCAAGTGGAGCTTGCAAGCCACCTGAGCACTTCTGGCCCGCCGAGAAACGCGGATGCCCAATACGAAATCGGTTTCATGTTGTGAAGAATGGCTGTGAACTAACTCAAAGCCAGGGATGGCAACAAGTCACATAGACAAAAGTAGGGAACACCAACAGGCATTTAAATTGCACAACCAGAAGGGGAGAAGTTGCATATCATATAGTCGTCTTTACCGACGATTATCGTGAGCCAAGTGTCCTGGTTGCTTTCACATATCCAAAACTCACAGGACACGTCCGTCTGGCCCCTTCTTTTGCTTCCAAGTCGCAGAGCATAGCGGCAGGATCGCCAGCAGCCGACGCATGGTGTTGGAGGACGGCCTGCCGCAAGTTGCGGGAACTGGACAAGTTTTCATGAGTAAAGAGGACAGGGACCCGACAAGTTTTCATGAGTAAAAAGGACAGGGACCCATGTTTGACGCTGGATTTTGGGAAATCCGCTGAATCATCATCATTTCGTCCTTCGCCGGACTCTGCTGCCAAATCCATTTCCTGAGCACATCGTCTACGTGCCACGCAGGTAGGCTAAGGTGGAAGTCTGAAGATTTCTAGCTGTTTCTTCTTGTTTTTGTTTACATCCAATCAATAAATTCAACCTCATACTTCTTCCATATCTCCAGATCATCCCAATCAAGTTAAACATCAATCCCAATCCTTAAATATCCACTTGCTGTTCCTGGGAACCGGCCGGCTCCCATGACCCCCGCCTGTCGCAAGCTGGGAGCCCCAGGTAAGGCGTTTGCTGCGGGGCCAGCCCTAGATTCGCCGAAGTGAAAGTGGCCGATTCGGCATCGTCTGAGTGGGGCAAAACGTAGAATCGGTGGGACTGCGGCTTGGAATTTGCTTGGGTTGCTGCAAGCTTCTATTGAAGAACGTGAGCCAAATGGCCACTGACAATGGACACGTGCGAAAACGCCAATGGCTACAAAGCAGACTCAGCACCTTGACTGACTCGTCATGACTTTCTCGTATGATACTGGCAATCAGTTGGCAGGTAAACTGTGTGGAGTGCGGTCCTCTTCTCTCATCAAGTGTGCAGGCACCTGAGACCAAATGGTGGCAGCCAAAATGCACCGTGCACAGGCTGCAGCAAATTGACACACCATTACATTCGGACTGAGCCTTGTTGCTGAGCTTTGCAGGTAGGAGGGAGCCTGCTTAAGTTCCCCAACATGCAGTGGTCTGGCAATCCACGTGTCAAGCACTGACCTCATTGTACAATCTCTCTCGGTACGGGCTACCGAACGTTCAGGTCGCCTTCAAGGCGCGACAGCTTCAGACTATGTCAAGGCTCAGTTGCAAAGTGCGCAACAGACTCTCAGCAAGTGCTGCCTCCAGATCTCTGCGATAACAGCCACGGACATAGGTGTTTTGGAAAAATAGACGGCCCTGGCAAATGGAGTAAACCCCATCTCAACCAGGGCCCTCGATTTTTTAAGCAAACTAAAAAGGACACCTATGGCCACGGATCGCTCCTTGCAGCCAAGTCGCGACTTTGTTGCCTGGGCGCTTGTACACGGGCAGGTGTGCCTGCAATCAGGCTCGGTCAAGGGAGCGTGACGCTGGCCCTCCTGGATGTCAAGTTGCTTGCGTCCCAAACACGTCTGCAAGTCATCATAATAAAGGGTCCCTGAATAGTAAAACCTATTCGCCCCCCCTCTCTCCCCCCCAAAAAAAACCAAGCAGCAAAACAAAAACAACTCCAGCCCTATTTGGGGTCCCAATCCTTTCCTTGCCGAAGCCTGCATGCACCTGCCTGCCTGGCTGCTGACCTAAGTACTGCACCCAGTGGACACCAAAAAAAGAAGAGGCGTTTGAACTTGCGGAACCATTTAACTCCGTGATTGTAAGTGTGCAAACGGTGAGCTTGTCTGACCCGTGTACTTTGTGCTACAGCTCAAACTACTAGCTGCCACAACAAACAGCTAACAGGGCCCCCCCAAGAATAAACTATAAACCATTGTCGCCCGACAAAGCACACATTCCTTTTTTAGCAAGCAACATAGGTGTTGTTTTTAGTATCAGGGCGAAGGGATTGCGAGAGCAGTCATTGACTGGAGGTCCCTGTTCCACCGTCCCAAGGCCTCCCTGTCAGGCCAGAGTGTAGCATGGCAAGTTCAATTTTTCGTCGGAACATGGCATATCGATCCTCAAGAACGGGTCCTTCTCATGCAGAGGTCGCAAGCAATTTACTCTGTTTCATCAATTCGGGCGGCTCCAAAAGAACAGATCCATCCGGGCTCCGAAAAGGAAACAAAACATCCCCACTCAGACCTTCTACGGTGAACCCACCAAAGTGGCATGCCGTATCCGCAGCCTCGTCCACCACAGCTCTGAGCGAGTCCTGGAACTCAGGATCTTCCATTCTTCTGGCCTGGGAATGAACGGCTTCGAACCGGCTGTGCATCTTGCAAACCTTGGTAGCGCTTAAGCATGCCACGCCCTCCCAAAATCCGTTCAAGTGATCGCTGATGCACTGGCTTGCACTTGTTTTCCAACTAGCGCTGTTGGTTCCGACATTTGGCTCTTTATCTGACTTTGCGGATTGGTACAGCGACCCCCTTCAGGGAGCGCAGTGAAACTGGCCTAACTTAAGTGGCATAGCCTCGCTGGATCACGGGAGAATATACCCGGCACAAAGGACAGGGCATACGACGCCTCAACATTTCCTCGGAGCAGCGTTTGCAAAACATATGGCGACAGGTCAGCCACAGATCCCAGTCGGAATTGCTCGATTGGCAAATCCAGCACTGATTGTTTGCATAGTCCTCAAAGGAAGATTCCACACATTTGTGATGCTGCCTGTTGAACTTTGCGTGAATGTGTTCGCCAACAGCTGGACCGATCCGGAAGGAGCTGTCAACAAGAGGTGAAAATTCGCCCTGCGAATGGTAGCCATCTTGAACCGGCGGCGGCACCGGCTCGCGCATAAGAAACTCGTAGACATCTTGTCTCCAATCAAGGTCCCCGTGCAAGTCGCCGTGACGTTGCCTCAGCCAATTCAAGCCAAGGAAATCGATCATTGGACTTCCATAGTGAGCTTCATTCTGCGGACAAGCACGGTGAGTTCCGAGGCAGTAGCCAACGGCACCGCCCCAAAGATTTTCGGGCATACGCGGAAACCTTGTAATGAGCCATGCAAGGGGGAAGCAGCAGCAGCAGTGGCAGTCAAGGCAGCAGGGCTCCGTTGACGATGCGCCGCTAAAGTCACAGCCATACATCAGGTAGGGGTCTGGGCCACCCCAATACATTCGCGCAAGTTCATCACCTCCGCCGCCGCCGGCCACCGGCTCGCATGGGCAACAATCACCAACACAGTCACAGCAACAGAGGTTGTGGTCCCCACCAACAGCCTCACCACAAAGGGTGCAGAGTCCGAAAATGGCTGATAGTACCACCATGACAATAACCATTGCCCAAAGCACAATGGACCACACAAAGAGCGTCAACAGCCAGAATGTCGACAAGAAGACACACACCCACACCCCAATGCCAATAACATACAGGCTCCACGCCAAGTCATCGCAAAAGCTATCCAGTGCGTACGCTTCTTGCGTGTAACAATCACCGGCGCATTCCGGTGGACAGCCACATAAGTCTCGCAAACAATTGAGCAGGGTAGGAGCATGATGGTCACATCGAACTCGTTTCCTGCCACACGGCAGAAAAATCACTGCCACTGCCAGCACCATCTTCCAAAAGACCTGCATAGCCTCCAAATATGTCAGAGTTGTCCAGACTGAAAACGTGTACATCACACCCATACACTCTCCACCCTGGCTGGTCTCATTTCCAGTTTCATAACCACGATAGCCGTTCTGAAATGCATAATTCCAGCCGCAATAGCAGTTCCAACCGGTCACGGGACATGTAACTTCAACGTCTGTGATATGAGGTCCTAAAACTCGCCGGCAATGAGCATCGTCCTTGCAACGAAATTGCTCGCATACTCCTTTGAGGAAGTCAACTGTGTCAGTGATGCCTGCCGTAGCCCAGTTTTCATCACATATGCATTTTTTGGTCTCGTGATCATACGTGCCGTGGCGACATTCCTTCGCCTGTGACAGTACTGTACTTGCTGCGACAAGCAGCAGGAGCGACAGCATCAGAGCTCAGTTGACACCGCTAATTCACACCTGCTTGAGCCGCATTTCCAACATGACCTGCCAAACATGACTTGGTGGCTTCACCCCTCATGGCATATGCGGCAAGGCCAAAGTCTTGAGCTGACCTGACTGTGCGGCGTAAGATATCTTCAAGCGAACTCTCCGGACAGACGCTATCCTGAAGACACAATTCCCTGCATTCAAGTTACCACCAAAATGGTACGCGAGGCCCTTACCAACCGGGTGCACATCTGATTTTTTGATCATGCTTGGCCTACATCTGTCGTACTGCACCGGATGGTTCTCCAGCTTTTTGCTGGATAAATCTTGGTCCTGCTAATGTTGTTTGATTATTTCATAATCAAATGGTGCTGCTATGAGGACATCATCATTCAACATGAGCCACAGCCATTTGTCATGCTCACGGCTTGCACTCAGCAGGGTAGAAACAAACATTGGTAGACTGCAGAGTGCTGAGTCCCTTGAATTTGGCTGCCTTAGGACACCCGGCCTGTGGATCGCTTTAGGAACGGAAGGCTGATCTGTATGCTAAGCCCGTCTTCGCCACAACGACCAACAGTTCCTTGTTCTGCAGCAGAAACCGCATGAAACAAGCAGCCCGCGCCATGTGTCTCTCATGGATTTACAGGCTCGCCTGCCTGTTCTGCAAGGTCCCAACAATTTTTCCCAGTCCCTCATGGGCAGAATAGAACACATCCGTGGGGCAGCTTTCTGCCCCCCTCAAAGTTTAACTTTCAGTTCAATGGAAAACCCATTGGCAAAAGTCAAAGTCAACTCCCTTGGCAACATGCAAAGCATCGGAGGTGATTCACACGTCCCTCCACCCGAAAGGCGGAAAGGCGCCAAGGCGCAATATGCCCCGCTAGCTCTTCCAGAATCCGCGGCTCCATGGGCTTGCTGCAGATCTGCAGAGCATTTCGCGGATCTTCCAAGGGTGCGCTCTCCCGTCTTTCATCCCCAAACCAGCTGGAGAGGCTTGGGGAGAAACGGTGGAAGGGGAGTAAACATATATATATATAAAGATTTTAGCAGTTAAGTGGTTGAATTTCAGCCACTAAACCACAATAAGCAAAAATGCAAAATGTGTCCCAACAACAAGCATGGAGGGGGGAATGAACCGGTTCCATAAAGGGTGAGCGAAACGCCTCACTTCCAGGCAAAAGCCAGGAGCCGGCATCACAGCTATCCCCCAGCAAGACCCTCGCCTTGTGGATGAAAGCCTTAGATTGCGCAACCTCAGTATCTGGCTCACACAAGATCTTTCCAAACATCTCAAACTGCTTGCAAGTGATCCGTGAAACTTTTAGGTTGCTCAAGCACCATACCTATGGAATGCTGAGGGCTGCTCGGCGTTGGGTGCGCATTCAGACAGCTTCCGGCCTGACAAACAGGTGCGACGGTTGCATTGAAGGAACGGCTGATACGATACATTTATCTAGCTATTGCCATTGCTGGTCCTTTATTCCTCAATGGCCAGACTAGTCCTGATTGGCAGTCCATAATTTCAGTCTTGAACGGATGCTTGCGGACCCGGACGGTCCACAGGCACAAGCAGCAAGCGCAAAACGCAATCAACATGATCCTGCGAAATCCGCATGAGAAAACCACGCTATATATTTTTAAGCTGCGATTTGTCGGCTGTGCAATGACACAACTGGTGGAGTACGTTGATCTGGGAACAAGTTGGCGAGTATCCCAAATACGTACGGTGCAGAACGTGATCTATAGCATGCATGCACTCAAGACATGTTTGCCATTCCCCGGCCGCTCCCAGGAGTAAGCCACACCATCAAGTAGCTCATCGCAACATGAGGATCACAACGTTCAGTTTCACACGGCCCGTCAGAAATGGGACGACTGAGGAAAACTTACGTCAAACCAAGCATTCGGAGGTCCTGGGTTTTGACATATTGTCACATGCCACACCTGCAGCCAAAGTCACAAATGTCCGTGAGGAATTGATGGTGTTCTGCGATTTCAACGAGGCCCAGCTCCTGCAATAAGAGGCAGGCGACCGTGAAAATGGTGGGTGGGTCAAAGGATTCCCGCTACCAGGTTCCATATTTCTTTGGTCGCCTGTAAACAAAGTGCAGGCGGGACATCAAAAGTCCATTCCGCCCTTTATGCAAGCGTTTGGCCACACCCGAGCGAGTGTCATCCCCATCATCTTCGATGTTTTGGCCTTTAGGTTTCGATCTTTTTGGGCGCTTTTTGGGTTTGGATGCTTGGCTTAGGTTTATGATTTCAATATTTGGCGAAGAAAGCAGCTAAGGCGCTCGAATTCGGGCTTTTGAGTTTTAGGGCTTCGGCTTTTCACATTTCACTTTTTGTTTGGGGGTTTGGGGTTGTTGCACGAATCTCAAAACACGCACGGTTGATGTAAACAAGACGCGTTCTGCCCAAGCCAGCTTCTCGATTCTGAACCATTAGTGTGGCCATTGTTTCTACATTTTTTTTTTTAATAAAAACATATTTATTAATTTTGCTGCGGAGCACCGTGAAATAAACAAGCGTCTTCTCGGTTATATTTGCTTATCTGTATTTGTCCAGTTCTGTGGTCTATAGGGTGTACGCCTAATTCAAAGACGGCTAAACCGCCCAAAGACCCCTCCCTCCCTTGGCACCTGAGCTTCGCAGCAAGACTTGCAGCTCATTTGGCTCTTGGCTTTATTTGGCCCATAATTGGCGAATATTTGGCCACATTTAACCTCACTTAAGGCTTACGAGTCTTAGTACGCATCAATGTGCTTGACAACGCTGGAGTTTGGCCATGAGTGCATAAAATCGGTGTTTTGCGTTCAACGTGTTTTTCTGCATGGGCTGACAAAACGCGTTTGAGGCCTTAACCAGCTTAAGTTGGCCTTGCTTTAGGCCAAGAAGTGTCGTTTGGCTTCTGGCTTGCTTTGTTTGGCCTTATTTGGCTCCATTGCTTTTGGGGGTCTTTGTGTTTGAAAGGGGTCTAACTGGTCCTTAACGGGGGCAGGGTTCCCTTTATCGCCGAGGGACATGCCCAACACCCTGCCTCAGCTTCCTTCGCATTGAGCCTCCCAGCCTCTCAGCAGGGCACATTCATGGCCCGATGGCAGCAAAGCGCACGGGTTCAGCGACGCTGCTGGTGACCAACACAACTGGATGGACAACTGTTCCAAATGCTTGATTGATGAATGTCATTGAGCCAGAAGATATGTTCCAAAGATCTCACGGCTGGAGCCGCTTAGAATAGCGGAGTCTGTGTTTCAAAACATCTTGTTCAGAGCCAGGCAAGATCACCGAAACATTACCGAACTATCTACAAATGTTCGGATTTGTGTTGACGCTTCCTGTCTTGCAATGCTTTCGTGCTAGATGTGGTTCCGTGGCGGAATGCGTTGGAACACAAGGATCCGGTCACCAATCTTCATTCAAACCAGTATGCACGAAGACCTCGAAGAACACGGGCAACCACACAAGAGAACGTTGCAAATCTGGCTTTGGGACAAACAGGAGCTTGATAGAACGAAATCATTGCACTGCAACGATTAGCACGATACTTCTACGCGTGCGAGATTCACACAATACACATGCCTAGCTTTTCAACTGAAAGCGAAGCAGGCTTCCTCTCTGTGTGCAGGTTATCCCTGCGCAATCCTGGGCAAAAAATGCAACTGCAAGCTTCTCTATGTTTCTATGCGAATGTGTCTGCGCAAACTCTCTTTTCAAGTTCCTGCACAAGCTCTCTGCGCAAGCAGTCGCTGCGCAAGTTCTCTCTGTGCACGCTCCTCTGCACAAATTGTTTTCATGCAAATGTGTCTGTGCATAGTTTCTCTGCGCAAAGTTTGTCTGCGCAAGTTCTCAACACGATTTTCTCTGCACACAAGCTCTTGGTGCTCGTTTCTCCGCACAAGTTCTCTGTTCCATTATTATCTACTTACAAGTTCTGTCTGCGAGTTTCTGCGCGCATCTTTCTGACCGCGGGTAACTCTGCGCCAGCATCTCGGCACCTCTCTGCTGCGTGCTGAAGAACTCCAAGTTCAAGCTGGAGCTGCGGGAGCGCACTCCGTACTACTTTTGTACTGAACAGTTGCAACTGTCAAGCTTGAGCGGACCAAGGAATATGGCTCTGTCTCTGTCTCAGTATGCTGAAATTCGCACACCGCAACGAGAGCACACCCTGGAAAGACACCAAATTCGCCCAAGCGCCTTTGTGCGACCTGCGCAGCGCGTGAGCATCTCAGGGGAACTTTGGCGCGAGCTTGCGCAGCCGAAAAGAAGCACCCTGAAAAGAGCAACACATCTCGCTCAACCACTTTGTGCAGGCCTGCGCAGCCGAAAAGCGCGCCCCAAACGAGCTCCAAATGTCGCCCAAACACTGGCGCGAGCCTGCCCAGTCCAAATGCATTTCAAGATTTTACAAAGTCACAATTGTACGTAAATTTCCCAGCGAGCATCCTGATCTAACTCTGGCCTTTTACTCTTACCGCAAGAACTCCTTAGTATGACACACTGTTTGGGGAACTTACTTTGGTAGAAGTTGCGGATGCGAGTCTTCATTCACTTCAGTCTTCGGGTTCAGTTGCACATGCAATCTGTCCTTGACATCTCTCGGTGCAATCAGGCGAGTTTACGGGCAAACCTTTCACAATGCGTCCGGAAAAAGGGAAGGGATGCCCTATCTTGTGCCATACCCAAATCCAATCAAGGCCAAAGGTGCCTGAAGCTCGGCAGGCAGGTACTCCATGTATTCGGCTGAGAAGTCGAAACTGGCCTCGAGATACTTCCCATGGAGTTGTGTCTGCTTGGAGCAGACTCACTTGGATAGGCCGAGTTTCGGGGCTTGGAGTTGTGCCATGACCGAGATATCCAGACACACCGACACAGAGACACAGAATTTTCCACCCGGGCTGGGCTTGGCCTGGGGAAGCTGGAGACTCGAACATTTCAGGTGAACAAAAAGCAGCTGCAAATCGTTCGGGACTGCAAGACGTGAAGCTCAGCTACTCTCAAAGAGGCGAATTCCAGCATGCCGCCTAATCCCATCGGATCCCCAACTCAGCACAGTCGACGACCTGTGCTTTGCCCCCAATTCGACCATTGGAACCCCTGGATTCAGAGATGTGGACGTATGAACATTTGCAGGGAGCTACTCGGGTGGGGGGTCATTTGTGTACGTGGACACCCCGCATGCCACAAGAAGAAAAGGGGCCGGAGTTCCATCAATCAAATGGGGAGACATCGGCACACAAGCAAATGAGAGGTGTGCCTCCATGTGCTGGCTCCTGAATTCTGAGAGTTTCTGATCATGTTGAGACTTACCGAGGGCGCCTGAGTAGTTGCATCAAACGCCAACAGTACCCAAATGTCATGCAAAGAGGCCGGACCCAAGTCGCGTTGCACCTTCAGCTGCGTGACCAACGAGACCACGCAACGACCAAACCCGTGCAACCACGGATCATGGAGGAATCCAAAGCTCGGCTCAGCCCTGGTCGGCCCCAGGGGGAAAGCATGAAATCCATGGGCTTTGTTTTTGGGGACGGGACCTTGCGAGACCCAAGCCGTGTTTTGACATGACGCCAAACAAACAGCATGTTTGGCCACCGCAAACTATGCTTGTGGATCATTCCGTGGCTCCTTCCCGTCCTCAAACCAAATGCCCCATCCCAACTGCTAGAACCCAAAAAAAAAAGCTCGGGCGATATCCCCAACAGCACCACACCCTCCCAGAATCCTCGCGGAACGCCCCGGGACCATCCTTACCGCCGGCGTTGCTGAGGATGCCGCCTTGTAAAGCAAAGCTACGAGTGACAGCGCAATCTCGCCCTGATCGGGGCCCGACGGCGCAATCGGGGCCCGATCGGGGCCCGACGGCGCAATCGGGGCCCGATCGGGGCCCGGCAATCGGGGCCCGATCGAGGCCCGACGGTGCAATCGGGCCCCGATCCTCCCGTGGTGCAACCCCAGCAACCCATATTATTGCTCAACGCCGGTTTTCCTTAGCATGCGGATTGCAATTGTATCTATAGCAAAAACTAAACGATGCCAGCTTGGTACAATTGACGGGGCCCGACTCAGGCCCCGATCGGGGCCCGACGGCACAATCGGGGCCCGATCGGGGCCCGACGGCGCAATCGGGGCCCGATCGGGGCCCGATCGGGGCCCGACGGTGCAATCGGGGCCCGATCGGGGCCGACGGTGCAATCGGGGCCCGATCGGGGCCCGACGGTGCAATCGGGCCCCGATCGTGGTGCAACCCCAGCCACCCATATTATAGCTCAACGCCGGTTTTCCTTAGTATGCGGATTGCAACTGTATCTATAGCAAAACTAGGCGATGCCAGCTTTGACGGGGCCCGACTGAGTCAGGCCCCGATCGGGGCGCGATGGCGCAATCGGGGCCGATCGGGCCGATCGGGCCGAAACGGTGCAATCGGGCGGGCCCCAATTGCACTGTCGCCCGGTGAACCTCGCAAACCGTTCTCACGCAACTTTCGTGGAGCTCAGCGTGAAACTTTGCTGGAACCTTTCCTCAGGGCTGCCCCATAGCTTTTGCAGAATTTGGTGGAAACCTTCTGACCTCGCAGCCTCGTGGAATTCTTGGAACCCAAAGCCCACCAAGCAGCAATGCCAAGCATTTACTCTGCTGCGCCGTGAGTTCCGCAGCGACGTGATCTGATTTGCCACAAAGCCAACATTTGCCTGAGCAAGTGAGCAAGTCACAAAACAGTGAAAGTGTGCTAAAAACCATTGATTTCGGTTTTGCTTAGTGTTCCGCCCATGAGCAAAGCGATCTTGATCCGATGGCTTTTCAGACGACGGGCGCGCGACACACCCTTGGTGGAGCATTGTGGAGCCTTGTGGAACCCGTGTGGAATCCTTGCAGAGCTTTGTGGAACCCTGTGAAACCTCAGGGCCCACAGCCCTCGCAGAATCTTGTGGAACCCTGAAACCCTCATACAACCTTACCTCAAACTACCCCGGACCACCCCGCAGTGGGACCCTGCTAACCCTGGTGAAACCCTGGTGGAACCCTCGTGGAACCTTCCCCGGACCACGCCGCACCCTTGAAGAAATTGGTGGAACCCTGGTGGCTCGTCCGGAGCACGACGGGCTGGTGGAACCCTGGTGGAAACCTGGTGGAACCCTCGTGGAACCTTACCTCAAACCACCTTGGACCACCCTGCAGCCCTCGCAGAACCTGGTGAAACCCTGGCAGAATTCTGGTGGAAATCTGGTGGAACCCTCGTGGAACCTTCCTCAAACCGGACCACCCCAGCCCTCGAAGAAATTGCTGGAACCCTGGTGGAACCCTCGTGGAACCTTACCTCAAACCACCCCGACCACTCTGCAGCCCTGGTGGAACGCTCGTGGAACCTTACCTCAAACCACCCAGACCACCCCGCAGCCTGGAACCCTGGTGGAACCCTGGCGGAACCCTCGTGAAACCTTCCTCAAACCCGCAGCCCTCGAAGAAATTGGTGGAACCCTGGTGGAACCCTCGTGGAACCTCACCTCAAACCACCCAGACCACCCCGCCCTTGCAGAACCTGGTGGAATCCTGGTGGAACCGGTGGAACCCTGGTGGAACCCTGGTGGAACCCCTGGTGGAACCCCTGGTGGAACCCTGGTGGAACCTCAGCTCAGGGTCGCCCCGAACCACCCCGGAGCCTATCTGGGCTGAGACCCCAAAGCTTTCAGCTGTTGGGGAAAAAAATAATAACAACCAAACAACAACATCATCATAGCACTTTCCACCCAGGCGACGTGCTGTCCACGCAGGGCTCCCCCCTCTCTCTTTGGCGGGGCCTCCGGCGTGCACAGCGCGGCGTCGCAGAGCATGGGCAGCGCGGAGGTCCCAGAGACCAGCGCCAGCGTGAAGGCGGGGCAGAAGTGCAGCAAAGCCAAGGCCTTGGGACTGGGGTCCCTGGGGTGGGCTACCTGTCCCTGGGCTACCTGTGGCTTCTGGTGGCTTCATTTTGACCCACTGCTTGGGAACGACCGAAGGCGCTGCGGTTTGCCCGCGTTTTACACGACCCTCTAAGGTGAGTCTCGCATGGGGAGAATGGTAGGGAATGACGAGTCCGGGTGTTGGGAATGAACCGGGAAGAGGAGTCCCGAATAAAAGAAACCGTAGGATGGATGGTGTATACTGGTGCCCAGGGTGTCGGGAATGAGCCCGGCAGGGGAGTCCGGAATAAGGGAAACCACGCAGCGAATAGGGAATGACCCAGCGGAATGAACTGGAAGGGGATTCCCGAAAGGAAACCGTAGGATGGATGGTTTACAGGGGCCATTTCATTTCTCAGCCCGGAGAACCAAGGAAAGCTGGGACCGGGAAACCCGAGCCTCTCTCGGCTTGCTTTGAAGGCAGTCCAAAACCCACTTGTCAAGCAGGAAGGCTCCCTTGGTGAGACAAAGTTATCTATCGACCAGAGCAAGGAAAAGCAATGGGAAGCGCATTGCCCTGAGCATGGTCCCTGATCTGATTACGCCTGGATCAAATCACCATCAAACTGCTGGCCCCCATGTGGTATCAAATCCCATATGACATAGGCCCATCACTTGATGTGTTGGCGCCAAGCTTGTCAATGCAATACCACCATCGCTGAAGCCGCTCACCCTTTAACCGTAACCTTCACGTACGCACTGAACTTCCCCTCTGCTAGGCAAGCGCAGGTCAAGCATGAGAAGGTTGAAACGCCTCAACCGAGCCGACAGCATTTGACCCTCCACTATACCATTTTGAGCACAACCAAATCGAATGTCTTCCTTGCAGCCACGGTGGAACATTTACAACAGGCTTGCAGGTTCAATTTGGTCTCTGCCAGGACAGCTGACGGTGGATGATGACATCTTAGACACGTTGCCTGATTCAAGGAAATGCGATGCTGCAACGCATTTGGAATGATCGCGTTAGCCTGCCTTTGGAAGAGGTTGTGTCACAGAACAGTAATGCTCTCAAACTACACCCCGGCACGCAAATTGAGGCTATGGGTTTGCCTACCTTTTTTGGAATTGGTAGCCGAATCGAGCTTGTGATTTCGTATGCCGAGCTACCCTTCGCAGCGTTTTGGAGCATCCTCCAATGGAGGGACCATCACATACCACCTGCAGCAAGCGCACCTGGCAAGGTCTGCATGGCATGAGACACACTCTTGGGTTTGGGGGTCACAAAGCAACCCCACCAGCGTCAACATTGTATTCCCTCACCGTTTTGGCCGGGATGTGATACACGGGCATTGCGTTTGTTCATCACAGTCCTATGTGCTTGGCGGTCTTTTTGTATGCATGAGCGCAACCCTGAGGCTCTACCAGGGGTTTCTTTCATTAGCTGCCAAAAACAGGTGTCCTGATGGCCACGCCCAGATTTGTACACAGAAGAGGCGATAAAAGGTTGGCCACACCAGTGCAGCCCCTTTCTTGCTTCTGTCCACCGGAACCTCGCAACTTGAACTGCTATAGCTGCAATTGTGCGCTGCATCTGCGCATTCTCACCGCGCTATGCAACTGTCTGTATGAAGCTCTCTTTGGCTGCGCAGGGCCGCGGCACTACGACACCTTTGGTTTCTGCTTGAAAATGGGCCCTTTGGACATCAGGGAAAAAAAACCCAGCAAGGATTTGCGTCTACCAAGTCTGAACATTCAAAGCCAATAAGTAAGTAATATGGGAATGACCCCAGGAATTCCCGAATAAGGGAAACAACCAGTTGGATGGTTTATAAAGCCACAAGGAATGGTTTGTCTCGGCGTCCTTCCATTTCTCATTGCCTCTTAACCCCCCTCATTCCCTGCCTACAAACCCCTATAAACCCCAACGCAGTTCCTATATTGCCTATCGCACCAGCAAGTATTTCACCCCAGTCCCCGCCTGGGGGCTTCGATGCACCTCCGCCAGCGCCTGCAACAGCCCCTCCGCGCTCGCGGAGCGGAGCCGCAGCCTGGGACCATTGAGAGATACCAGCCAGACTTGGCCAAGTTCGCCTGTATATATATATATATATATGTATAGATATATATGTATATATATATATGTATATATATGTATATATCTATATATATGTATATATATATATATATAAATACACACTTGTTTTCCCCCGGGGTAGTGGTGATAGAGAAGAGCTATCGCGCATGCTGGTGAACAGCGCTCTTTCCTTCTCTCAGAAGACCTGTCGGATCCCAGTTGAAAAGCGCAAGTTTTATGAGCGGAAACCTGAGGCTGCTGTGTCTCAAGGCTTACAGAGAGTCCTGGAAATGTCATGCGCATGTGCATCTCGTTTGGTCGAACATGGGTATGCTAGGTCTGTGGCAGAGCTTGACGCACGTGTCTCACATGCTTTTCAGCGCTGTTCAAATAATCAAGCGACAATGTGGTTGTAAGTGTGGGCATGACGTCTGCATGAGCTGTCAAAAGAAACCGCGAAGGATGGGGTCATCCCTGATGATGCATTGAATGGACGGCATGCACGTTGATACTGAGGAATGTGCTGTAGCAGCAATAACAATGGGCAATTCTTTCGGACACATGAAGAAGGACCCGTGGTTTGTGACAGCTACATACACCCTGTGACGCTAGTGATGTTTCGGCGCAGAATCAAAGCGTGCTTTTGTGTTTTAAAGGCTTGCGCGCGGGACACAAGATACCATTGTTTATGCCCAAGATACCATGGTATACCATGTTGCAACATTCATTTGTGTTGCAGGTTCAATTTGCCAAAGGTGAGGGTGCGCACAGGGGACACCCATCAGGATTACTCGAGGGTTCCAGCAACGGTCGCACAGTGGCCTCTAAGTTTTCAACGAGGATCCCGTTGCTGAACAGCCACGACACCAAGCATAACCTGCCGAGATAAAACACACAAGCACAACCGCCAAAACTTGCCGGTGCTCAGTAGGGAATGACCAGGGTTTGGGAATGAACCTCGGGATTCCCTTTCGGGAAACCATAGGGGACGGTTATAAGTTTCATTCCCTAATTCCCTGCCGCAAACGCAAGAAGTAGAATCCACTGGCTTAAATAGCTTCCTCACCGTTGGCAGTATTAGCTTGACTTCTCCTAACTCCCGCTAACTTCACGCCACTCCTGTTGAGGCTTCGGTCCGCCAAAAGCTAAGGCTGCCACACAGCAGTGTTCCTCAGTTGCAAGCGACAACCTAGCCAAAAGTTGCCCGCACACGAACAACCCACCACCCAACGTCACCGTGGTTGCCCCCGCTACATATTGGAAGCCACGCCTCAATTGCAAAGAATACGGCCTGGAATACTGGTGGCTCCCTCTCTTCAATTACAACCAGTCAACTTGTCAGTTACCAACCTAGCTCTAGCTGTTGACTTTTGTTGCCCTCCGTGTCCCACAGCAATATGCAACCATGCCACTGCCCATCCATGCACAGATCGATGTCCTGCATGAAAGGAGCGCTGGTCAACGAGTTGTGGATTGCTTGAAAAATCAAAGACATGCACAACCATATGCAGGCTTTGGGGTTGGTGTTCCTCTTAGGCAATTCATGTTGAATTCCTTTCTAGTCTGTATTAATCCAACTCATGGAAAGATGACAGCGCTGGCGCATGCCCTTCTGTTGCACGCCTCTGCACCCTTGATGGATGGAGCTGGTCTTTCAGCACTGGGTCCAACCAAACGCAATGCCGAATCAACAACAACCTTCTGTTTCTATGGACATTCAATGACTTGCCCGCGTTCCGAGTCACGAGTCACAATGAGTCTTGGTTTGCCCTACACGAAGAAAACACAACGGAGAAAACACACTCACATGTTGAAAAACATGTTCTCACGTTGCAAACGGCCGCGGTCTCCAAGGCCCTCCCTCCCTCCCTCCCTCCCTCCCTCCCTCCCTCCCCCTCCCTCCCTCCCTCCCTCCCTCCCTCCCTCCTCCCTCCCTCCCTCCCTCCCTCCCTCCCTCCCTCCCTCTCCCTCCTGCTTGCCTTGTGGGGCCACATCTCCGCGCTGAACCGCGCCGGCGCCGGCCGCGCCGGGCAGCTGGCCAGGGCCTCTCAGATCCCAACCGCCGTCGTTTTTGGGGGCGGGCGCAAGAAAACACAGCACATGGCTCGGAACACGTTTTTCTTCTTCTTCTTCTTTTTCCGGCAGAATCACATGAAAGAATTTCGTGTTGGCCCGAAGAACAGTTCAACAGGTTTCCTGTTTCACACCACCCATGCCCCGCCTGCTTCACGAGCTCTTCCCAGTCTCCACCTGACTGGGAGCCGCATGCAGAAAATCCACACTGCTCTGCTTGTGACTTCTTTGGGGTGCTCATACCTTCAACAACAGCAACAACACCAGGGATCCTTGGCAAATGCATGAACCATTCTGCCAATACAAATCAGAAGAGCTTGGCCAAAGGGAGAGGGTGCAGGTATGCAAATCACACCCAAATTCAAAACAAAAGCAGGCACCCTACCCGCAAAGAAAATGCTCCCAACAAACAAAAAAGGGAACCCAATCCCATCATAGGCACCCTCCAAGAACGACTCTCGCTGATTTGCGCGCAAGCAAACCGGCCTCCAGGCGCCGGGAAGAGTTGGCCATGCCCCGGACCTCCGACGGTTGACATGCGTCGTGGCACGTAGTCACGTAGTCCAATTCGGTTTGGGAGAGAGCACCTTGCGTTGCAGCAAACATGTTGAAACCGGCCAACTCACATAAATGGGATTGAGGACTATTGCTGCTGGAATCTGTGTTTGAGTCATCCACTGGGATTTCGGAATCATCTCGCAACAAAGAGCCTCTACCACTGTACAGGCCGCACTGCGAATTGCGTTACATGGCACCAACAAGTTGCGCCTCCGTTTGGCTGAGCTTTATTCCAACTGGATCGGAGAACAGCGCTCCCCATCTGCAAGGAAGAGACGGTTAGGATCATTAACTTCTTACATGATTCGCGGGGTGAACTTGGGGACTTGTCTTAGTCTTGCCGCTTTGTTTGGAACATGCTTCCGGCAAATTTGCCACCCAATTTGTTTCAATCCAACACCAGAACGCTTGCTCAACATGCCTCTGTTCCAAAACAAAGAGCAACTCCAAAAGGAGTGCTACCCGCTCAAAGCACTCAACCCCGAAGGTCCTGTCCTCCCACATTTGAAGACTTGGGGACTTGGCGTAGGAAAGCCTCACAAATCACAGTTTTCAAGAAAGGGATGTAAAAGGGAACCATAACCTGGTCTTCCTTTCCAAAAAACCGGCTTGCTGACTGAGGGTAGGGGGTGCCCTGGAAAGACTAGAAGAGAGGTCAACGGAGAGATCGGTAGTGTCAAAACACCTTTGTCATTGCATAGGGGGAGCTTTCTTATCCGGGGAACGAGATTACCATGAACGCTTGCTGTCAGCATGTTTGCCCAACGGCCTGAAGGGGAACTCATGTTCAGTGGCGAAATTCGCCTTCGGGAAAAATCCAGCTTCGGGAATTCGGCTTTGGGGAATTCGTGTTTGCAATTCGTCCTTGGTGGAACTCATCTTTCGCCTTCAGGAACTCGTCTTCGCAAACTTGTCTTCGCCGAGCTACCCCCTCTTTCAGAAACTAGACTCGTCCTCTATCTTGCTTTGTGAGCGCCAAAACTGGGGACCCCTCATGGACCGCTCCAAATGGCTGGCGTTCAATTGACCAAGGCCCCGCGCCTGTGGTCTTCAGCCGGCAGCGCTCTTCCAGGCTCTGCTTCGCCACTGCCTGTGCCTGGCGATTGCCCAACGCAATCGCACCCCCCGTTGGTGTGCGAGGTGTCATTTTGACCAACAAACCGCTGCTTTGAATGTCAAGGACACAACAAGGAAACGGAACAATCAGTTTAAGACCACATCTAAAAGCCAAGCATTTGGACGTGTGGGCACATCCCAGCTGTTGCAGTCTCGATGGATGTCCAAAGATTGAACCGTCGGCTTTGACCATGCGTCTTTAACTGGCATTGCGCTATGTTTCCCCAACTATTGAAAGGAATGCCATCCTGACCCACTAACAGCGGAACTAGAAAGAAGCAAATGACTGTCGAATCTTGAATCGACGTGCAAACTCCAACTGACATGGAGCCGGCTATGCGAAACATGCCCATGTGGGTCGAGGGACGCAATTGGACGAAACCGTGTTTGATGAGCTCGAAACACTAACGCAGACCACACAATTTGACACACAGCCAAACTCACAAGCAACAAACTCAGGATCCCCACAGAATTCAACTCCAAAATATCTGAGTTCTGCTTGCCCTACTGGGCACTCCAGTGCGGAACCTGCCTGGGCCAAAGCACGGGCATCAGCCTCTGTGTAGGTCCCGACGATCTCATCTACCAGCCTCCGCTCGCTCTTGCAACATCCATAGTGACCAGCGTTTTTTCCGGGAAACAAACATGTAAAGAGCTCTGGTCAGGCGCACGGCGGCCAGCACTGCCAAACTTTGTTGAGTTGTAGTGGTCTGGTGAGACTACCACCAGGAGCGCCGAGGAGCGCCCACAAATGAACACATGCGCACTCAACCGTCCCTCCGACAGCTGGAGCCTTGGGCCATTCACATAGCATCCCACCTAAAGCTGCTCCGCTCACATCGTCATGTTCGGCCGCTCTGTTTGAGGATGGATGTTCGAATCCAGGAAATCGTCCAGCAAAACGGCAAGACTTGCTGCGCTCAACTCGGCATGTTGCTGATTCCTGGGTTTTTGTGGAGATGGGTGGCTTCTTCACATCCGTCCAAATTCTTCAATGGCAGATAGCCAACCACGCCGAAGGTTGACACCGAAGACCACATCAACACAGTTCAGGACGCACGCTGCTGGATGAAACAAATCGAAGTGTCGAGGTGTGATTGTTGTGATGGCGAGAAACACAGCACCCTCTTGTGGTTTCAGCATTCGAGCCCATGGCCTCAGCCCACTCAGCACTAAAACGAAACGTGGACCAAGGAGGGGGGCGGTGTTTCGGGTTGGTGGGCGGGTTTAGTGGGGGGGGGGGGGCGGTTTTGGGCCTGGGGCAAACCCAAAGCTCCTCTGCCAGCCGGGGAGCCCCAGGTGCTTTGCCTGGCGCACCTCCAACTCCGCACCCAGAAGGCACAGGCGCCGCATCCTCATCGGCCCTAGGAATTTAGGGGTCCAACGAACTCGGGAATTCCATTTGAAGGCAAGGAAAGGACCTTGAAGGAATGCGCAAAAGAACCGGAAGCCTAGCAACCAAAACAACAAGGAAAGCCGAAGGAAACCCAAACGAAAACAACCATTCCTTTGTGCACATTGCGAAGGAAACCGCGAGGGCAACTGCGCTCCCAGCCAAAGTTTTGCAGAACAGCAATCTGTTTGACATCTCCGCTTTTCCACCGCGAGAGGTTCAACAATACGGGGAGTTTTGGATCTGGTGGGACTCTTGAGGCTCACTTTGGCTGAAACCTTAGGGGCCAACTCAACAAATGGCTTCAACTCCCCATGGGTTGCCATCTGCCTGTCGGACGAAAAGCTGTCGAACAGCCGCCTTCCGAACAAGCCCCTCCAGCTTGAAACCGAAAAAGGCGGAGACTGCTTGCTAAAACGAGGGAGTCTTGTGCGATTTAGCTTCCATGTCGGAAAGATCTGAAAAGTGCGCTATGTGGCTGACAAGCTAAGGGTACACCCTCAAAAACAGAATATGCGGGTTCAGTTCATATGCATCCTTCACAGGCAAATCTCTAACAGACCCTCACAACTGTTCGCCCTGCCAATCGTTCTTTCACCTTGAGTTGAACGCATCATGAGGAGCAAAATCGCAGCTTGATGCCACACAACTGACATCATCTGGTCAATCAAACAATGCTGACCACATACCCATGGCATGGGCAACATTGATCGCAAGCCAGGTTGAATACAAATGCCCAAATTGATAAGTTCTATTGAGCCAACAAGATTCCCCCTGTAATCCATATCATTGACCACTGAACAAACAATCCCACAAACCATGCAATCATACCGTCGTGGATGCTTTCTTTTTGACCCAATATAGACTTGCACGAAAGATACTAAACAAGGCCAACGCATCTAAGCTTGAATCGTCTACTCAACCAAGTGCTCTTGGGATCCTCTGTTCAACTTGATCAGGTGAAACACGCATTCATGATGCTAGTCTCAGTAGTTGACCGTCATTGACCGCACTATGGGTGCCATTCATTGAACCCACACACGTGGTCCGCAATATTGCTGGCACTTGTTCAATCAACACACGACTGAACCAACCCATGATGAAAACCTCCTCTGCAACCCAAGCAAGCCTGATCACCCAACGGTGTGTACTCGGTTCAACCAAGACCATGTTCACCATCGTTGCACCAGCTACGTATATCATCTTTGATTCAACCCTCACACTGTTGAACGCCCACCCACCCACCCACGCACACACACACACACACACACACACACACACACACACACACACACACACACACACACACACACACACACACACACACACACACACACACACACACACACACACACACACACACACACACACACACACACACACACACACACACACACACACACACACACACACACACACACACACACACACACACACACACACACACACACACACACACACACACACACACACACACACACACACACACACACACAAACACGTACCCTGGAAAGCCGTCATCAATCCCTAACAACCAAACAATTATCACAGTACTAATTTTCTGTCCCCCCCCCCCCGCCCACCCCCCACGACCACAAACAAACATGACCGCATCATCATGTCGGCGTCATTCATTGAGCCCACATCAGGACAAACATGCTATCTTGAACTTGACCACAAACTTCAGCACATCGTCATGACATGATGCCTCCCCTTCGCCCCACCCAAGGTTGAACACAACAGCATGCCTATTCTGACCCGAATGGAACGATAATCATACCACTGGCATCGTTGATGGAACCCGCACAAGGGTATTAGGTATGTCCATACTTAATCATTCCACATTGATCGCGTGGATTCCAGTAACATAAGACCAATCATGTCACACTGAGGTTGTCCGGAACAAACAAGAAACACAAAAATAATCAAAGAGCCCCGTATGGAGGGAGTCCAGTTCGGCTCCACGTTTTCCCGTTGCTTCCCGTCCCCTCGGTTTTTTACGGCGGGAGGCCCAGCTTGCAGATGGTGCTCTGCCACGAGCAGCAGGCCGCTAGGCCCCGAGAGGCCTCCAAGAAGAGCAGCGCTGTCCTGGAGCAAACTGCCGGTTTTCACGTCCGGGGGGGGGGGGGTGGGGGGGTTTTGGAGAGGGGGGTGGGGGGGGGGGGGAGGGGGGTGGGGATGGCTGTTTTTGTGTTCCCGGTTCCCTTTAGGGCAACCCTTCGTACCCTCTGAGTTCACCGACTGAACCATCTGGGAGGGAGTTTGACCAACACACGGAGTTCGTTCGTGTCACCACTGGGGGGACCAGGGCTTCTTGTGGAATTCCTGGTTCTCTTTACAAAGCAAACGCTTTTTAGGGGTGCCCTACAAGAAAAGGCAGGTTGAACGCACATCAAGTTCCATCAAATTTCCGTGGGGGAAACACTGCAAGCATCATATTGAATTCCACAGATTTCCCACATGGAACCCAGTTTTGCTCAACCCCCTACCATTGTTGGACCCCAAACCAAGAGGTATGGGCCTGGAGCAATGTCCGATCTGTGAATGCCACACTGCATACCTGACTTTTTCTGCTCCGGCAGCATGTTACAAAACATGGCTGCAGCTGGGTTGTTTTTTCTTCTTTTTTCTTCTTGTTTTTTTTTGCGAAACCCGATCTTGAATTGCAAGTGCTGAGACTTGTCCACTTTTTGTCGCTTCCGCTGCAAAAGGAGGTTGTTTTTTTCCGCACGCCCCGCGGGCGTTTTTGTTTCTTTCTCTGCGCCCCCGGAGGCCTCTCGGGGGCCACCACAAAGTCCATGGCCGCCGCGAGGCTGATGCCGGCGCCCAAACTTTTGCCCCTCAGCGCCGCCACCTCGAAGCGAGGAAACATTGGAGCGGGCCCCGTGTGTTTGCTTCTTTCCGCGCGATACCGGCAACCATGTGTTCTCTTGTTTGGGTACCATTTTTTTTGTTTGTTTAAAGGGGAAACCTTTTTTTTTTCTCAGTGATTGGTGGGTCGGGTGGTGATCGGTGGGTATAGGGCTTATTTTAAGGTTTTTAAAGTTGGCTTGAGTGGAACGAATAATGATTGGGAGGAGTTGGGCTACATAGGTTGAGGCTTGCTTTAAAAAAATACATAGGACGAGTTTAGCGTGGGTTGGGGTGGGATGTTTGGGCGCAAAATGGCTGATTAACTGGCTGATGTGTGGCAAAGTGGTTCAACAATGTAACCAGCGGCTGAATGGCGAAACGGTGGACAATCACATACCGAACAAGGGACTTCCCTGGGTTGACTAGTTTCATATCGGCTCATCTTTGACGACCGTCTCTCGAAGGCGCTACACAGGCCTCCACAGCGGACGTCAAGATTCCAGATAGCTGCTGAGCAAGTTGAAAAAAACCTACAGTTTGCTGCCTGAACGTGCCTCAAAATTGCAGACCATTGCATCAGCCCTCCTAAACCCGGCGGCCTTGTATTGCGGCAGCGTGCTGAGCAAATAAAGAAGGCGGGCGATCGGCAGGTTTTCTGCCACTCCCACCTCAAACGCGCTGGCTCCTGCAGATGCTGGCAAAGCACACTAGCGTCCAGCCACTTGATGTAAGCACAATCATGTTCGACTTCTGTCCTGGCTCTAACTTTGGCGCATACTCTTCATCATCTTGCGGTACATTCCCTCCTTGGCAAACGGCACAACTTGGTTTGCCACTCTCCACTCTCTCTCTCTCTCTCTATCTGTCTCCCTCTCTCCCCTTCCCTGTCCCTCCTTTTTTACTTGGCACTGTGGGCGACAAGAGTGCCACTCGGAAAACCAAATCGCGAGACTCGAACAAACCACCCTTGGACGCACGAAGCAAAACTGGGCGCCCAAAAACCAAAACCACACACATTTTGCTTCAGCCCACTCCCCAATTTGGCTGTGGGTCAAGAAATGGGGTAACCCCAAAATGGAACCCTGGCAAATGGAAAAAAAGACTAGAGACCTGCGTAACCCCTAGCTCTTCATTTGGCTATGGCTCAAAATCCAAATCGTACCCCCAGTGAACATCCGATTCAATCCAACCACTAAAATCGTTTCTAACATGGGTGGTGAATTCACCTACCCAACAAAATGGGATCCCATTAGTTTTGACCCATATTTGGGCAACCAATTCCTATTTTTCTGTGTGGGGATCGTACGTGAACATTCCAACTTCGTGGGGATTGGTGGCAAAATGGGTGGGCAACCATTGGCTGTGGGTCAAAAATAGGGTAACCCCAAAATGCAACTCCGGTAAATGGAAACATGGACTACAATCTGCGTTTTTTTCTGGTGGCTCAATTTTGCCCCATCCCAAAACGGCTTTGACCCCCGCCATTTTTGGAGCCCTCCCCCCCCCTTCCCCCGCCCAAAAATTCCTCGCCGAGGCGCCGAAGGCTCCCCCGGAGCAGAAGTGGGGCCCCGCTGCGGTGAACACCACCGCCGCCACCTCCGGGCCGAAGGCGGGGCAAGGCGGGGCAAGGCGGGGCAAGGGGGCAGAATGCTGCTCCCCTGTGCTGGATAAAACATGCGGTGAAGCGTTGCTGTATTATATGTATATAAAAAGCACCCCCCCGATGGATCTACCTTGTTGCTGTTTCAAGGCTGCCTGGGAGATGGAATGCAGTTGTTTTAGTTGGACTTGACCGGCATTACACCCCAAAGCAAGGAAATCCTCCTCAAAATCTAGTTTGGAATAACAATTCCAATTATGTGTTGTACGTTTGAAAAGAAAATCCTACTTAAATGATCTTTAAAGTTAGACATTCTACTGGAATCCTTGTTAGATTCCAGTTAATTCTACATGGAAAGTAGAGAAACAATATTTTGGGAAAGGACGGTCTCTTTAGAATATATGTTTGAAGTAAGAATCCCAATTAACAATGTTGTTTGAAAATGGAAATCCTATTCAAATCATCCTGAAGTCTAGACATTATATTACTTGTTGTTCGCTTTTAATTTCTATTCAAATTCTAAGTAGAAAATTGTACAAATCATCCTGGAAACAAAAAACATCCTTTTGAACCTGTAGTTTGAAATATTCTGTCTTTTGAACAACCTATGGAAATTCTAATAAACTTATGCCCTTATTAAACTCTATTCAAATTCTGCCAACAAACCAACCCGTTTGAACATCTAGGTTCAAATCAGAATTTTGAATACGAATCTTGTTTACCAAGGAAATCCTATTTAAATTCTCTTTAAACTAGAAACTCTACTAGGGTTTGTTTCTTATTAAATTCCATTTCAATTCTAATTAGATAATTGAACAAACACAATTGTAGAAACATATATCCTTTCAAATCATCTTTCAAATCTATTTTGAGACAAAACATATAATTGACTATTTGATTGTTTAGTGCTTCTCGAATACGTTGAATTCCAAGCAAAGCAACAATAAAAGCAGCAAAACACCAATGGCCCAAGAGTAAAAGCGTAAGTTCTGGAGCAAAAGAAGTAGAAAGCAAGTCTGGAGCCAATGACAACAATAACAAGAGTGAATTTCTGGAGCCAATGAAGAAAAAGTAAAACATGTAAAAAAGTAGCAAAGTAAACAAGTAACAAAGAAAAAAGAAGTGGAAAAGTTAAAAAGTAAAACGGTAATAAAAAAAGGTAAAACAAGTTATTAAACCAAAAACAAATAAACAGGTAACATACATCAGCCCACGGTCCTGAAGTACAATGCTTTGACCATGGACTGAAATATTTCACTTTTTTTACTTCTTTACCTTTTCATTTTTTTCCTTTTGGGTCATTGGCTCCAGAATTTTACCTTTTTACACTTTTTGTCCTTTTTTTTTAAACAAACTACTTTTGGGCTAGTGGCTCCACAATTTGACTTTTTTGTGTTTTCACTTTGAGCCAATGGCTCCAACATAGCTTTTTGTTTTGCATCTTCTGACCAAACCTCAGAGTAGAAATACGACAGAGGTGGATCCAAACCGACTGTATTCAAGATTCCCTGGAACTGTTTGGCCTAAAGCTTTCAGACATGCGCCTCGTTTTGCTGTTTCCCCAAAGCCCCAAAAAAGGCAGAAACAACTGCACATACCAGTGAATTCTGAAGGAAGGTAGATCCATAAGGGGGTGTACCATATATATATATATATATATGAAGATTATGTTATGTATGTGCAGCGTTCAGGGTTGGTCTAAGTGAATTTCGGGTTGGTTTGGGGCTGATTTAGATCGAATGCGCCTTGTTTAGGCTTGGTTTCGGGCTGGCTTTCGGTTGGTTTAGGGTGTGTTTTGGGCTGGTTTTGGTGCGGTCAGGTGCAGTTGCGGGGTTGGCTATGTCCAGTGCCGGGGTGGCGGGGTGCGAGTTCGATTCCAAGGAGAAGAGCTTTTGGAAGTAGATATGGGATGTCTTGTTTGAGGGTTGCCTGTTAGGGTTGATGTTAAAGGGAAACCAAAAGGACACCGACCATTTTGGGGCTCCCCCTATTTTGAGACAAACCCATCTGCTTAGCAGAAGTTTGAATAGGGAAGGTCTGAGCTGGAAAGTCAAGCCGCGAGCGGGCGCTGCATGGGCAGTTTAGAAGAAATCCCATTGGCGGGGGTTCAGGGCTTATAGCTTCAGGAAAGTGAGCGCCGCACCGCGAGAGCGTTTCGACCACGTGAAAGTGCTCAACGGGTCAATTCAGCATGTTGAAAGCCTGAAGATGTGCTGGCCTTTTTGAAGCTCAGAAACAGAAAGTCGAGGGTTCAGCGCTGGGGTGCAGGGAAACCATTGGGGGGGGTTAGCAAGCTTTTTGCTGGAGGATCAACATGCTGCAATGTTGCTGTTTTTCCTTACATCTTGGCCATGGTTAATTTGGTAGGCTTGGGCCGGGCGGTTCGATTTTGGCTGGGTTTGGGATAGGTTTAGGCTTGGTTCAAAGTCGGTCTTCCGTTGGGTTTGCAGTGACTTTAAGGTCTGCTGGGAGTGGGATGGAAGTACTCCCTGAGTTCAGGGTGAGTTGAGAGTGGGTTGAGGGTAGCTTGGCGGCTTTTGGGTGGCTTGAGGGACTGGGGCCTACGGGTGCCTGCGAATTGTTTGAATGCCGGCGTGTGGTTTTGGGTAGGCGTAGAGTTTTTTAAAGCTGGGTGTCGAGCGGATTATGCAACTGATCATGGGCAAGGTTGCGTGCAGGGTCGAAAGCCGGAAGCCGAAACCGCAAAGCCAACAAGCACAAAATGTCGATAAAGAAAAGACAGAGCCATGTTGCGTCAAGTTCCACCATCTACCTACCAAGTCTGCCGGGCTGCGTCGGGCCGTCCATGAAGCTCCGCGCAAATGTCCAGGAGCGCAGCAACTGTCTTTCGGGTCCTTGGCTGGGACGGATCGTGAAGGTCCACGTGTTCCGCGCCGACAAGGAAGCAAAGCAAAGCTGATGTCACATTGTGCTCGTGGTCGCGCTGACGTGGTAGTTGATCAATTTTCAGGCAGACACGCGTCAGTTGCCGACATGTGTGCGTGTGTGTGTGTGTGTGGCGTCGCAAAAATGCCATCGTGACATCAGGGGAACACGCATTAAGATAACATGATGCAGTTGGAGCTGATCCCTGAGCACCTCCTAATGTATACCGCCAGCTCTGTCACAAGTGCCTTCACCTTCTCTGACCTTCACGATGTGTTGTTTTAAATAACACAAACAAGTCTGGGACTTCTTGCGGGTCATTGGCCGTTCTGCTAGGCAGCGCTGTCACAACTCTTGGCGCCCGGCAAAGCATTGTATGTGTTGAGATCATCCAGCTTCACCTAAGCCGTGAGCGCAATCCGCCGGCGCGTACTTCTTGACCAAAGCCTGTTTGACTGTGAGCTGCCTGTTTTATTCATAGATCAACTGGCCAGCCACACCGATACCTCATCCCCCAGCGGCAAAATGGATCATGTGGGTGTGGGTCAAAATTAAACCACTAGGGGACCGCAGGTAGCCCATGGTTCCATTCACCCGGGTTCCAGTTTGGGTAACTTTTTTTGACCCACAGCCATGTGCAGCCGTGGAACCTCAGCAATAGCGCCTTGGACGCTGTACTTCACGCAGTCGTACTGCCAGCTACCTGCAGCAGCTCTAGCAAAGGGTAAAAAGGGGTCCCCAAAAGGAAAGCAGTACCAGAGCTCCACTGCAAACATCTTTGTGGCATTTTGGGCCCAAGCAATGGCTGCCATGAGACCAAAATGTGGGCGAGTCTGGCCCGGAGCCTGAGGTGCAGTGGATTTGCAGGCTGCTGATGATGTCCTGGTCTCTTTTCTGAACAGAGGTCTTTTTTGGGCTAAATGGGAAGTACATATGGCCTAAGTTTCCCAAGTTTTATGCTGAGACACAAGACAACAAATGTTATGAAGCCGCGCTCACAAGTCCAAACATGAACGGCTTGGACGGCTGCGAATGTTTGCATGAGCCGCGAGCCATCGAGTCTGCTTAATCTGCACAATTTCCGATTTGACTTTCATGTCGAAGCTTATGCATTTTAATCCAACATCATTTACTAAAACATGCTATGGCATGGTAATTACTCAGTATGTTCATGTACATGAAACAGCCGCGTTTGCATCGCTTGCTCGCGCGTCTTTTCGGTAAGCTACCCCTCCTGGATGATCTTCTCGCTATGCTGCCACCATGCCATTGCTCCCAACCGAGCCTCATCTCTCCAGCTCTGAGCCACGGCACCGGCTCCCGCGCCGGATTTCAACGGCCTCGCTGCATCCTTGCTTGGTAGTCAGGTAGTTCGATGAACACACTTGCATGGCGGGCAAGAGAAATGCCCAAACTGCCATGCGAGCCAGATGTGAAAAGGCTTCGAAGCACTGCTTTGGCTCTATCGACATGAACCGCTGATTCTCTTTCCCCTGGCTTTCGTGGGGACTTTGGGATACCGTGACCTCGCCAGCTGAGTAGCAGAAATTGCAACCATTTCACCCCACGAGGCCCTGGCGCTCTGCGCAGATTTCAGTTTCCGCCGGTCCTGGCGGGAACTGAGGCGCACCGGTCTCGTGTGAAGTTTGTTGATTCGGCTGCGTTACCAAGGCATCCCTCGGGAAGGCGGCTGAGGGTGCTTCCCTACTTCAGGAAGGCTCCACCATTCGCCTGGTTCATGGGAAATCCTAAAGGCTCGCTGAGATATACCCTGCCGGAGTCAACGAGGGTGCCAAGAGGGTCACCCTCGTGACATTTTGTTGGGGATCCCTTTATGTTGCGGAGAGGGGGAACCAAGAAGCAAAAAACAATGACTGAAAGGGAACCAACAAAGAAGAACAACAACCCCCCTTGCGCAGAAAAACAATCGACAAGAAAGCAGGACACGGACAAACACGAAACACCATTTGGGTGTGTCTCAACATAAGGGTACCTCCAAACTGGTCTTGGTTTCACGGTTCCCCCTCTAAACCCCCACCCAAAGACAAGGGGGGAAAATTTCCCCGGCCAAAACTCACCGCGTGCCATGTCCCTCCCATGCCCACCGCTGGCGCGCGAGAGGCTCTCGCCTCCTCCTTGGGCGAGCCCTGGAGCAGCGCGGAGTGGCGCCGGTTCGCCGGGGAGCTGGGGGCCGTGGAGGCGGTGCCCGGCCGGCCTGGCTTTCGGAGGGCGGGGGGGGGGGGGGTCGGGTGGGGAGAACGGCAGGGGGCTCCGGTCGGTGGGGGGGGGGCGGGTGGGGTGGGGTGTTGGGAGTGTTGAAGGGGTTGTGATTTTTACTTCCAAACCCAAGTTTCAAACAATTTCACCCAAGTTCTGGGTTGCTTCTACTTCTTCCCGGAAGCAAAGGGTCGATGTCACCTTTTCTAGGAATCGGAAACGATCAACATGTGCCATGGTCCTTTGCTCCTTATGTGGGCCGGGGTTCCTGAGTACCACCCCCAAGAAAACGGGGTGTTCTGACCATGGTGCCTATGGGTATAGTGCCAGCCATGCGGACTGGGTTCCTTGTATGGGTGGTCCCTTATTTTTGGTGGTTTCAATCGGACACAACCACCATTTTGTGGGGTCCTCTTGTGTTCGCTTTCAGCATCGCCCCAAAAAGAGGCCCGTCTAATGCCCAAAGCTGAAATGTTTCTGACAAGGAAATATATAATATATATATATAAGGACCGGACCCCTGAGGGTCCGGTAGTTCAGGAGGGCTAAAGACCTATCACTTTGGGTTGGGGGGGGGGGGTGGGGGGTTGGGGGGGGAAGAGGTTGGCAGTGTTTTGCAGCCAACCAACGCCCCAAAGAAGCGAGGAACAAGCCGAAGGGCCGTTTGTTCAACGGGAATGCTGAAGGGAAGATTGAACAACAGCTGCTTCATCTCTCTACACCTTCCAGCTGTTGGCAAACCCAACTTCATTGCATTGACACAAGGGGGGTCGACAAAATGATTAAATGATTAACAATCCTCTTTGCAGCACGATGACATCACGGTCTCGGGCAATCCTGTCATGTCTGGCAGCTCACTGTGCAACCCTGTTGCCCCTGCCTCGTCCTCTGCGGCCTTCGCTCTCCTGTCATTCAACCCCCTGAATCCTCTGAGCTTCACTCCGACAAGATTCTGCCATTTCTTCAGTCACGGAAGCACGGCGACGTGGAAAACTTCAACTTTTAGCAACACACGTGTCGCAGGTACTCAACGAAGCCCCTGGTGGCCGTCACTCGGCACGGCCTTGCCATTGATGGTTCGCATCATCTGCGAGCTGTTCTCATGTCGGTTGGCAAGGCCTCACTCCAGCGGAAGGGGCTGACATGTCCAGAGTGCAACCAGCACATTGGATTCCGCCCTCAAAATGACACAACGGACCATTCTAGGGGTTGATTCCCCATTCTTTTCGACCATCGTTCTTGCCAAGAACCGGCCCTTCTCCCTGGGTTTCCGGAGGTTGTCTAGAAAGAAGGATCCCTGGAAAGAATGGGGAAGGTACCCCTAGAATCATGCACCAGACCAAATTTGGGACACGAAGGCAAACGACTATGACTTGCACGACTCGCATGCTCCGGAATCCAGGCACGGGAAATGGCAGTCACGCCGCCGAGAGCTCAACCTTCCCCCCCAAACCCGACACCGACATATTCTCAGAGGCAGACTCACCACGGTGCCAGCATGTCGGAGCTGGCGAGGTCTCTTCAATCGAACAGGTGCTGTGCTTGCCCCATCTGGAGACCAAGATGCTAGGCTGGAGCATACTATTTGTCAAAGTGCCGCTAGTCACTTGAGCTCAAGAAAGCCGTCCAAAGATCCAAGTGAAGATCCGAGTGTTTAGACCACTCGGTGCCAATCGCAGGGTCGCTCAAACCCGAACCAATCCTCTGCGATCAGGGCCTCCGAAACGACCCCGGGACCGCTCCCAACGCGCCTGCGTGTGCATCTGGGTTTTGAGATCCTCCTGCCTGGAGAACACCTGAGCCCAACTACGGTGAAGCAATTCACGGGAGTGAAACGAAGATTTGTCCGATGGGTAACAAATTTCAACACATCAAAAAAGGATGCCGACCGGGCTGAAAGCGCAAGCACCAGCCCGCACTGACCGCGGTGGGCTAGCGGCAGGAGTGATTGGGCCCGCGTAGTTGTTTGGGGATCAACAGTTGCATCTTCCAGGAGTGACAGCCAGGGGAATTTTTCTAGATTCAAAGGTGATTCGATGGTATCGACCCTGAGAAGGGGGGCCCCACTTTTGCTGTTGCGTAATCTCAACCCCTGACCAAACGCAGGAGGTATTTGCCCGGACATCCCTTTCTGTATCCCAAAGGCGATGCCATCCCGAGCCACCAACCAGGCCTGGACACCCAAACGGTTTGGTGTGGAGGGAGAGGCCTCGGGTTCCGGCGAAATGCACCAAAATCAGTAGAGACGAGGCATGCACCGCTTCCAATCGGCAAGAAGTTGAGCTTTAGCACTGACAAAGTCTGGTGACATGCTGTGAATGCTTCATCTTCCTGTGCAAGTCGGGCACGGCATTTGAATGCGCGCGCTGCAAGTCAGTATGGCTAGCCCTGCCTAAAGCATGCCAAGACCCGCGCAGATCTGGAGATCGCGGAATTCAACGATGTCACCGCCGCCATGCTGGGAGAGACTGGTGTTGCCAGCGACGATGGAGAGGTCAGCTTGGGCATCGCAACTGCCCAGTCTTCGTCTTGGACTCAGCCGGAGCCGAAGGGCATGGGCAATCAGGTCGCTACAAAGCGCTTTAATGTATGACACTTTCTCCAGGTGCAAAGTTATGTATGTTGGATATCTTGACTTCGATCCGCTCAGGCTTGCAACTGCGCTGTCTGTTCACCTCTCAGAGGTCAAGTGGTAAGCGGCCTATTGCCCACTCAGGCTCAGTATCCAGTCACCTAACCCGAGGTCCCATGCTTGTGGGATCCAACGGTTGAACTGGCAGTGTCACAACTAGGGGGCCCTACGTTGGCGTTTGTTTGCACGGGGTGTCTGATCCACCAACCTTACTCCCCAAATGCTCTCCATACCGAGCGGCTGTTGATGCTTGGCAGGCTGGGCTTTTCCACAGCTATGGGCTCCACCGGAGTGTCCATCTCCACTCCCTGAAAACAATTCTGGAAGCGCAAGGTTTGAGATGTTCCATTCCAAGCTGTCCAACCTGAAAAAGTCCATCCTCCAGCCAAGGCTGAACAGCAAACGGCGGCAAGAAGATATTGCGAATCCCCTCAAAAACCGCGCAGGGAGTCCCACATCAAAATCTCAGACCTCAAAATTGGTGAAATGGAGTTTTTGCAGCGAAGATGGCACTGCCATCCAGTCCGAGTCAAGCTGGTGTGCAAAGTACGCTTCACCTCACATGCTTTCCCAGGTTAACAGACTCTGGCCAAAATGGACCTCCGTGTCTACTCTTCTGGCACAAACATCTTGAAAAGCCACACAACAACGCCGCAAAATTTGGCGTGCCGATTCGATGAATCGGCATTGCTCAGTTCACATCCGCCTGCTCCGCCTCTTCCAATTTTTCCAGCTTTCTCGCCACAACTCTTGCCCTGGCCAGGTCCATCGCCACTGAAATTCAAATCCATCTGTCTGAGACCCACGGGTCCCATGCCAGAATGCGCGCACAGCGAGCTCTACACACAAAGAAGGCTCATGTTGTGTTGCTGCCGTGCCTTCGCCGGACCTTGTACACTTTGTCGGCAACCTCACAATGACGTTCCCTGGTGTGAGATTCACTTGATGTGCCTGATGACATCTGCAAACAGACATGTCCGTACAAACAGTGCACATACCGATTGTATTCCAGCATCGAAGCTGTCATCAACTAAAAAAAAAGGCAGCAAAGGGCATAGCAACACAGCTTGGCTTTGCTCCCTGAGCACGGCACCAACCAGGCTGCGGCCAACGAGACCACTCCGACCTTAGTCGCTAGGAACTTTCTGCACAATCCCTGAAGTTCAGGGCAAGCAAATACGCTAGACAGGATAGACAGGCTAGACAGGCTAGACAGGCTAGACGGGCTAGACGGGCTAGACAGGCTAGACAGGCTAGACAGGCTAGACAGGCTAGACAGGCTAGACAGGCTAGACAGGCTAGACAGGAGAAGGCCTTGGGGCAATCCAATCCAGCATCTATGATACTTTGAAGGCCTTGACACGCTGGACGGGTTAGACACGCTAGACACGCTAGACTCGCAAGACACGGCACACTAGGCACGCTCGGCATGCTAGGCACG